ATTATTGTTTTATTTTATTTTATCAATTTATTATTTTATTTTCATTCTACGTGACTTTACCGAAAGAACCAAAGAAGATGAATCCTTGCAGTCACGAAAGCTTTAAATCGAAATTTAATCACAAAAGCTTTAAATCGAAATTTTACATTGAGGTAATTTATATTTTAGTTTTTATTGGTTGACTATATAGTATTCATTATATAGTGTAGTGTATACCCAGTTACTGTTAATTGCTCAGCTTATTGAATACTATATTGAGTACATTTATTCTGTGGATGTGTATGCTTTGACTTTAACATAGCCATTTCTGTGACCAGTCACAAGCTAATCACTCAGCTATTTCAATGCTAAATTCTATACTAATTCCCTTGTCAAGGGGTGCCTCTGTGGATGTGGATGCTTTGACTTTAACATAGCCATTTCTGTGACCAGTCACAAGCTAATCACTCAGCTATTTCAATGCTAAATTCTATGCTAATTCCTTTGTCAAGACGCTCTGTTTCTTCTCACACAGCTTAAAGGTCGCGGTCTGAGCTTGGCTGTGTTCGCTGCAGCGCTGTCCTCCAGACAGTCTCGTCCCTTCACCTGATGAAGGCCGCTTGTGTTGTGGCCGAAACGTCGTGAGAATTTTATTATTTGATTTTATCAATTTATCATTTTATTCTCATTCTACGTGACTTTACCGAAAGAACCAAAGAAGATGATTTATTACTTTCATATTTATTTTAATTTACTTTGTTTATTGTAGCTTATGTATTATTTAAGTTAATCCCTTAAAATATATAGGTTTTCGTAGGCCAATATCATCATCTGTGAACATTTATATTCACGAGCATATCTGGAAGATATTCCTCGCGAATAGCGAGGGAATGCTGTATAGTACATTGATGCCGGATTCTTTCACCAGAATTCATACAAGGATGTAACTATTGTTAATTTTTATTGTTAAATTGTGGCATTGCAGATACTGCAAAAAAATACACTGCAACGTTTAATGATGTCTCAAACATTTATTTGTATATACAGTATGTTATTTTATCATACATTCGTTCATAGCCAGCGCTTTTCTTCGTAGTCTCGCGGACAACATGCTCAGCATTCAGCCATGTCAAGTTGGAGTGGACGGTTCAATTCCCACCATGTGTGTCAGCTTCTTCCACAGATAATTACCAGAGCCAGGATTGCCACGGGAATAGCAGCGTTCGGCAAGAGACGAATGCTGCTGACTGACAACACGAGTGGGTATCGAGCTGTGAAGCGACTCGTGAAGCCCCCACAGCATGGAGTGCAGCATTGTATGGGGCCAAGACATGGACGCTGCTAAAGACACAAAAAGACTGATAAGTCTGGAGATATGAGTTGTGGCGCCGCATTGATAAAATCAGTTGGATGGAGAGAATGAGAAATTAGGACGTTCGAGAGGAGGTTCAGGAGGATAGAACTATCATTAGAATAAAATAAAAATAGCAAAATATGTGGACTGGGGGATATCTGCATAGTTGAAAGCTTGATGGAGGAAGTTCCACAAGGAAGGCTGTTGGGAAAGAGGCCAAGAGGTATAAAAATGAAAAGTCTACTTGATCACTGCAAGGAGGGGTCCATAGAGACCAATGAAGACGTAAACTCCGAGCCAGAGAGGATCGAGGGAGTTTGAGACAAAGACGCTGCCGTCTGGCAGAGGGCTAAAACGGGAATAAAGATTAATCTTCAAAGTGGTGGCTGAAGACTCCGTAATATAAGTTGTAATTATAAAGCATTTATTTGTCAGCATCATGGCTCAAATACACCATCTTGAAATTACTCCCAAAATACATTGAAAATTTAACTATTAACTATATTTACCCACGGTGAAAATATGAGATTTATCGCAATGGGATACGCCTGATTAAATAAAGAACATCTCAACAAATGAAGAACCATCCCTTTGGAAATACAGGCCCCGGGTCTACATGACAAGAGAGACAATAAATAAATATATCTCTTACTCTTGGTTCTTTCGGTAAAGTCACGTTGAAGGAAAACAATAAAATAATAATATATATAAAACAATACAATTCTCACGACGTTTCGACTACAACACAGTCATCATCAGGTGACTATGTATGGTGCGTGTGAAAACCTGATGATGACTGTGTTGCAGTCGAAACGTCGTGAGAATTGTATTGTTTTATAAATATTTTACTATTTCATTGTTTCCCTTCAACGTGACTTTACTGAAAGAACCAAGAGTATGAATCACTGCAGTCACGAAAGCATTAAATCAACAATATATCTCTCTCCAGACTCTCACCTCGAAAAATAAATGACAATGAGTTACATCCTTGTCTATTGCCTTATATAATATCCTTGTTACGAGCAGCTCTTGTCCACTACAGCAAATTACTTCTTGCTGTGACTATTCCACCTGATGACAGAGGCTTGTGTTGTTTCCGAAACGTCGTGATTTGATTAACTTTATTTTATTTAAATCAAAATTTATTTTATTTATTACCTACGTAACTTTACCGAAAAGAACCAAAGAGTATGGATCATTGCAGTCACGAAAACTTCAAATCTATACTCAGATTATACTCGTCGATGAATTGCCTTCGTGATAGCCGTGCACTGTAAGAATGGAGCAATTACCAACTCTTCTAAATTATTATTGTATATTTACCTTTGTCAATCCACTGCTGGATAATAGCCTCCCCACGTTGTGCCGGTAATGGAGTTTTTTTACGATACTTCACCATTGGAGATTGGTGAAGGCAGAGCTTTGGACCATTTCAGCTATCACCACAGATGTTTACCGTTTCCAGGCATCAGGCTTTCCTGGTCCACAGAATGATACAAGGAATGTCTCAAACATCCTGGTGCAACGTCTCATTTTCAGTGCTGTGGCGATGAAATGTGGATCACATGGTATTATGCAATGATTACATGACTTTAATTGACATAGTACCAAAGGTGAGCCTGTGTTAGACAATGCGGCTTACTTGAATGGCCTATTTATGCTTGTGAACCTGCCAGTCATTCCCAGTCATTACGGCGATATAATTAAATGTGACCACATGCGCTGTTAATGGCCCTAAGTAGCACATTGTATGTATGGTGCGTGTAAGTTTGCCCAGCAGCGGGAAAGCTCAATCACGTCTAACAATCAGCGGACGTAATTGCAATGATTTGCATTGTGTAATGTATGCACAATTAGACAGCAAACTGCTCGTGTACGGAGAAGCTTTGGTTAGCGTGGGCTACACAGAGGGCGAATGCCGGCTATGTGAATGGAATCTTAGGACCACACTTTGAGTCGATAACCCCCGTAAAGGATCACATTTCGGTCAGTGGTAGAGAAATGTGCAGAGCTCTCTGATGCATTTTCAGCTTGTTGCGTGCAGAGAGTTTGGCGTGATGTCCGAATATTCAGTTTGTTTATGAAGCTCCCAACATGTGGAGAGAAACGTCTACGCGCTACACGGGGGCTTCGTCGGGAAATGAATCAATCAATGGATAAAACCCGGCAACTCATTGGAGAAAGTCTACAGCGGCAATACATTAAATGTATTCTGTTTTAGATGTAATGATAGCTACGTGCAATCACACAGTAAAATTCACCATCAAGTCACGTCAAGGCATATCTCTGCCCAAAATCAGCAATGGGGTGACACTTATCAATACATGAGCAGCCCTGAGCTGGCGTTGGAAATTCCACATTCCCACAGTCGGGGCCAGCCTCTTCATCGGATAGTTCCTTCAGTTTGCCACATGGGAGTGTCGCTGGACTGAGTTGACTTTAAATTTTGATTTAAAGCTTTCGTGACTGCAGTAATTCATATTCTTAGCTCTTTCGGTAAAGTCACGTTGAAGGGAAACAATAAAATAATAAAAAATATATAAAACAATACAAATTCTCACGACGTTTCGACCATAACACAAACGGTCGTCATCAGGTGTGTCGGTTTGCATCAAGAATTTTTTTATTGTTTTTATATATATTATTATTTTATTGTTTCCCTTCAACGTTACTTTACCGAAAGAGCTAAGAATATGAGTTGACTTTCTTTTGATCAGGATTTGAACCTGCAACATTCTCATTGTAAGTCAGACCCTCTCAGTAAAGTGTCACCAGCTCTACGTTTAATTGTTCTTTCCAATAAAGCAGCTGCTTTCTAATCAGCTGTTCTTCGGCGATATGTAGAACCATCTTCACGATGGAGGTGCATACATTTAGCTGAACCTATCCATCTCTCTGAAGTTCGCTGTCTTTTTGGGGACAACGTTTTAATAGTTTGTGATCATGAGAGTGGCACAGGTGGTGACTGTGATCGTAAAATGAAACGTTTTGCTTTCATTTGCGAAGCAGCATGCCACCAGGGCAGTTTGAACCATTACAACGAGATTATCACTTGAGATAGTAGCACGCACCGCGCCTTCGCGGCACGCTGTGCATGTCGCATATCACTGGTTTAATTTCGCTAGGTGATGATAAGCGCTTTAATGTGCGATTAATTCATAATTCCCAGTATTCGTTCTGTATTTTGGATATTAGACATTCAAAAACACTATCTTCATTATTGTTTCAGTTTATACGTATGTCACACGTTAATAATACCTGCTAAAATTGTATGCAGACAAATAACCTGCGATTGTTTAATTACACCAATAGACCCTTGAATAAACGTTATCCAAACCATATAATGTTGATAATAATTCAACACATTACAGAATCGTTCTACATGTATCATCTTGATATCAACTTATTGTACATATGCCATGAGCCAATGACAGTGGACATATGTGTACACTTGTGTTTTATATTGCACAACAATTTACAAATAGGATTTACTGGCACAAAGTATAGCAAAACTTTGCAAAAATTTAACCATAAGCCACATGTATGTATCTACATACGCACTGTATATACAATACATATAACGTATGCTTTATATATACGGGAATTTGAAATAACCGGTTGCAAAGTAGTGTTTACAGATATGTCGGTGTATTGAGCTGTAACTTACCTGCGTTAGAAGAATCTGTAATCTTCGTTGATGCCACCATTGCCTCTCCTTGCTCTGCAACTCTTCTCATTTCTGGCTCAGTCTCATTTTTGAGGATTTTCATTTGAAAAGAAAATGATCAGCCTTGTTGCACGTGCCTTGCGTGGGTGAATTTGAATGAGCTCTTAACCAACAGATAACGACACAGAAGCTATTAAGTAGAGCAGAAGCGATCAACAATGCACGATATCAATTGTGAGACAGTATATATTCTGTGTATATATAATTGCATGGACTGCTGTGTTCTACAGGCAAATGCCCGGCTGCGTTGAGGGCTCAGACAACATCGCCGAGAATGCAGCTTGGGCGCTGCTCTGTTCAGAGTGACCGCACGCGGCTCGTGGCTGCGAGGAGCTGTGCCGGACTGCTGGGCGAGGGGCGAGGGAATTCACGCGCAATACTCACCCCTTCCACTAGGCGGCCACGGAGCCCTGCGTCGGAATTTCCTCGGCACACTCGTCAAAAAAAAGATCTCCCGTGTAGCATTAAAGGGCTGTTGGAGAAAATGCCCTTAGCTATAACCGCATTGTTAACATCCATTTAAATGTGCCTCCCTGCTCAAAAAAATGTTGGGCAGTGCCTATCTCTGTCACCAGCCCTGAGTTATTGATGGAAATTCAACATTCCCATTGTGTGAACAAGTCTGTCCATAGGACAGCCATTTAAAATAAATTTGGTTGAATGCACATCTTGTACTCTGCGAGTTATTTAACACAACATTCTAGGTGAATAACTTTTTCGGTTTATCTTTTATTTATGTTGTTAAAAGTGTAAACTCCATTATACAGCCTGTTTTTTTTACTTTTTTGCTATTTTTTTGTCTTTGTCATTTGTATGGGCGTCAGAGGTCAACAACTTGTTTCCTGTGATTTTCTGTTTTTTACTGGGGAATTTGTCCTTTTATAGAAGCATTTAATTGGAAATTCCACTGGTACAGGCAAATTGCTGCTGCATGCGAGATATCTTAAAGGGCAGCAAACAGATACGCCAACCGTAGCATCCCCCAATGATGCACCACTCCCAAAATGCCATGCTGCTAAGGTCATATTTTTCCAATCCCAAATTAGGATTCTTTAACTTGTATGTGCGATTTTCCATCAAATTTCTCGAAGTGAGAACTGACTTGCCAGACATTAAGTACTAAACTCACAATCAGCTTATTGTAAAATCGAATGTATGTAGAACTTCTTTTGCACTGTACATAGGCAAACGTGCTGATCGGAGGTGCGAGAGAAGGACAACAAACTAAACACAAAGCAGTTCAATAATGTCAATAACATGTGTTCACGGTCTAGGGTTGACTTAGTATATCATGTTTCCAGGGCCAATAAAATTCGTACCATTTTGTGGGAAGTCCAGAGGTTGTCCCTTGGAGTAACTGGTTTCCAAAATATGAAAGTAGAATTCCCACCAATGGCTCACAATTACTAAAGCAGACAAGCACTACCCATGCTTGTATGAGTGGGATATGCTGCTCAAATTGGGAGGCGTTTATCCAACAGTGGATTGATGATGGTTATCGCTGTAACACTAGCACAAGGAAGGCAGATTTTTTTTAATGAAGTTAATTTGTATTCTTGGTTGTTTCGGTAAAGTCACGTAGAAGGGAAACAATAAAATAATTGTTTCCCTTCTACGTGACTTACCGAAAGAACCAAGAATATGATTCCCTGCAGTCACGAAAGCTTTAAATCAGAAGATAATTTGGTAAGCTCCCACAAAAAGCTTGAGCCTTAGTCATGGCACCATTGTGCAATCTGCTATCCAACTGTCTTAAGTTAAAAATGAATTCCAGCCAGAAAAAATGTGGCCAGGTGGTACTTTTCCAAAGCATTTAACTCACAATCTGGTTATGAATTAATGATCCAGCACTCATGACTTAACTTCAGTCGCTCGCTCACCGTTGGTTGGCCTCTTACTTGTCTCTCTTATAACGCTACCACCATGGTCATTGTTCCCAAGAAATACACTCCTTGATTCCTCCACCCATGTTGCAGAATCGGCCCACCAGACTGTTTCATCCCATTCCCACCATGTTCACCCACCACCGCACTGCAGATCACAGCAACAAACTAACCCACAGGCTCACCCACCTACTCACCACATTGCAGGTCATAACACTTATTTTTTCTGCTTGTTCCCTTGCATTGCACGACTTTGGAATTCCGTTTCATCCCCCCCCCCCCCCCCCCATCGTGTTATAACCTTGCTCAATTCAAGAAACGCATTAACTCTAATCTATTTCACATTCAATGGTATTGTTTGTTGCCGACTGCTTGACATCTTGGCCGGTGGGCCTGTGCTCAGCAACTGTGATTTAAAATAGGAAGTGGGACTGTCCACTCGTGCCTTCATCTTCCGGTTGTCAGTAAAACAAAGAGTTTGGTCGCTTTGTGGGAACGCCAGTCTGCATGTGCTGTGGAGAGACTTTCCCCGGCCAATGTGCTCAGTCTCCCAACCAACTCGGACTAAGACCTTCTTAAGTCTCAAAGAGAAAACTATACCAGTACCTTTTCAGACCAGATGGTGACACTACCGTGTCTTAAATTGGGTTTTGTAATGTCTGTTCTAGCTTTGATTTAGTTAAACCTGAACCACTGGACTGTATAGTAATAAAGCACATGCAGTAATGAGATCCATTTGTCAATCCACTGCTGATGAATGCTTCCCCATACCATGTTAGCCATACTTCACTTCGCTGCTGTGTGTGGGTTGATAAAGAGGTGCCTGTATCGGTTCAGATATCACCCGCCACTGATGTTAGCCGTCGCCGGGAATCGAGCTCATATCCTCTGGAGTCATAGCACAGTGCGCTAATCACTGCGCCACAGCTCTACTCAAAATACTGTAGTATACAGAAATCAACATTGTTATAATTCTAAATGGACTAATTGAGAGAAGTCCAACACTACAGAGAAATGCCATTATTTAATTTCAAATTTAAATATTGCTTTTCGAATTCAATTTGGAGCAATTTGGACCACTACGCCAACACACACAAAGCATGTGGATATTGCCCGAGGATCTACATCTTTGTAGAAACTCCAGGTCATGCACATCCCCCTAAATAACTGCCTCCATACTTATCATAGACTTCCTGTAAGTCAGCTTAACCTAAAATAGTATCAAATGCAATGAAAGGACAGAGGTGGCAGGGTATGCGAGGTTGGCTCCACCACTTCGTCTTGTGTTGTGCCAGCCTTAATAGGTGCTCACTTACCGCACTTGCTCGGTCTTGTAATCCATTGCCCTAGTCAAGTGAAGCCAACGTGCCTTTAAGGGCAAATGAAACATTTAAAGCATTGGCGGAAATATCGCATTCCTATAGCATGTATTAGTTTATCCATAACACAACCATGATTGCTAAGTGTTTCTAATTATATTGACTATAGAATGATGTTCGGATGGTCGGTTTAGTCAACCTATGACCTTCCAACGTCGAAACACGCGTTCTCGGGAAAGAGCCTTTCAGTCAGATAGCATTCCCACAACAACTAGAAATAACCTGTGAAGATACAAAACAGGTTTGACATCTTTAAATAAATAAAAAGTCTGATCCGCACATGTGTGGAATGTAAATAGACAACAGGAGTAAATTTCCATTGGTCGGTCTCATACAGTATAGACAGTATATGCGAGCTATGACAGGTACCGTGAATTTGGAATTAAGGCACAATAGGGTAACGTGGTGTTTCTGCTGCGTGCGTTTCGCAGTTTCTTTGTACGGCTCTCCTATTTGTGTTTGGGTCATACCGCGTTCCGTTCGACGTGATGTCTGACGTTTCTCTCCATGTCCAGGGAACTTCTTCAGAAACGATTTAATTCAGTTCCTGAAGAAGCTCCCATTAAGTGCAGTGAAACGTCGGACACCGTCCCGAACATGCAGCACAACCGGAAAACACATCGGAGAAACTGGTTGAAATTTGTATTTATAAATTCCTTCAATGTATATATTTTGGAAAACTTTCACCATTTTCAAAAGTTATCAGCAAAGCTTTGTTATAATATATAAATAAAGATACACTTTTGTCAGATTTTTTATTACGTTTAATAATTTTGGCTTTTAAAGTTCATGCTGCCGCAATAAAAAGGCTCCCCCGTCCATAATATGTTAAACATATTGATGATGAAATGAAAGTGCATGCATGTATGTGTAGTGTTCGACTTTACGCGGACAACTTCTGTCTTTCTTCGAATTTATTTACAACATTCAACATGTCCTCCACACTCCACAGTATCCTGGTCACTACGGCTCGCTCGCCGTGCTCCGCTCGTTTCGCTCACCACCTTTGTCTCCCCACTATCACTTCACTTGCTTCGCACTCAGCGACTCCCCGTTCAGCAACTCCGCACACAGCGTCTTTGCACACAGCGACTTCGCACACTCCGCACACAGCGTCTTCAGCTCTGCTATCGCTATGCTCACTCCACTGCTAACTACTTCGTCTTGCTTCAGCTTCGCTATGCTCACTCTACTGCTAACTACTTCATCTTGCTCCAAACTCCGTCTCCAAACTCTGTTTCCAAACGCCACGTCTTCCTCGTCCAGCTTCCAACTCCCCCTTTCTGTGTCTCCCCCCCCCCCCCCAATTTATCCCCATTCTCATTATCGCTAATTAATTGGCCCACGTGCCTCCGCACGCTTCGCGTCCTCAAACACCTGCCTGCCTCCAGACATCTTGACGCCTCCTCGCCCTTGACAACAGCCACAGCCAATCACCGCCGTTGCTGATCCTCTGGCTTAATTGGCCCAACCGTTGCCTCATCATCCCAGCCTTTGCACCTGGCTGTCCTAACACGACCCACACTATATTCTTAGTTTTTTCGGTAAAGTCACGTTGAAGAGAAACAACAAAATAACAAAATATATATAAAACAATAAAAAATTCTCACGACGTTTCGACCATAACTCAAACGGTCATCATCAGGTGTGTCGGTTTGCATAAATTTATTTTGAAAACGGCATATTTATTTATTTATATTTATATATAAAAAAAATAACGTTTGCGTCACGCGCAACTATGGCAGTTTGCCAGGACTAGTCCATCTATTTTTTGAAAAGAGGAGGGGGGAGACGAAATTTGTTTTTATGTATGCTGTCTGAAAGGCACTGTAAGCGTGAACAATCAATCAAGAACTGAAATGATTTATCAAATCTTTCCAATGATTGCTAAGATAGAATCCATCTTCTCGGTTGAAATTGTCTCTGTGTTTGTATATGTGGATAGCCTCATGAACGAATCTCTCATGGAAGCCAGATGGCTTACAAAGAACCTCCGTCTTGGAAAAGTCAATGGCATGTGAGCCTACTGAATTAGAACAATGATCTGCTACGGCCGAGGTGTTGGTCCTACCGTGTTTAAGGTCTGCTTTATGTTCACGAATGCGGTCCGAGATATGGCGTTTGGTTTCTCCAATGTAACTACTACCACAGAGGCAACTTAGTTTGTAGACACCAGGGTATTGTATGTCCGGAATCACATCTTTTACAGACGGAACCAGATCACGGATTTTATGTAATGTGTTGAAACGGACCTGGATCTTGTGTTTATTCAAGATTTTGGAGATCTTTTTTGTGATCCCAGCAATGTAGGGTAAAGTGATGGTTTTGAAAGGCTCCTCAAGAGGGTTCTTCTTCATGGTTTGAGTGATAGCTTTGCGGATTGTATAGTCGGAGTAACCATTAGCCCTAAGAGCTTGGTGTACGTGCTTGAGTTCACTGCTTATGTGTTCCTGGTCGGATATGCATTGGGCTCT